TTTCTGGTGGGATGTTGAAGCAATAGTAAAAGTGGCCTCATGTGGGCTGAGCCAATTTCCCGTCTTTTTAAACATAAAATCTCCTATTTGTTTAATGGAGGGCTGGGCTTGTCTCCTTATTGACTGTAATTTTCAAATGAAACAGGTTTGTCAGTGTCTGACAGGCATTTAAGTAATTTTCATGTCCTGAATGACCAAACTCTCCATGTTACTCACAAAACCTGTCACAGGGACAACCACATTCCCCTTGTTGTGTCTCAAGCAACTGAAGTGTTAAACTCCAACTAAGATGGCCAGATTCTGATATCATCTTCCCAAGGGTAATTACACCATAGTAATTCCAATGAGGTGACTGAGGGCAGAATTGCTGTGGGGATGCGAGGATAGTAGGTATCAGAATGTCTTCATGACATTTTTGATGCTCCTGGATCATTATTTTTTTATGATTATTTATGATTATGATTATTTTTCTTTAGAACACATTTGAGTCACACCTTCAACCCAAACTGGTAGAACCATTGATTAATTAAACCAGTAGGAGTTTTTCTATATTAGAACACTTGTTTTTCACCGGTGCTATGGAGGGCTTTTTAAAATAGGTTGTACACCATCTAATATAAATCATACTTAAAATACAACACCAGTGATGCCCTATATGAAAGCAAGATCTAATAAACAGGTAATTGTAGTAAATTCAAGCTTTTTGCACACTTCTCCTTTTTCCAAAACAAAGGAAAATGAAAAAAAAAAACCAACAAATCAAAAACCCAGCCTCATATCCAACAGAGCTGAAACTTGATACTTAGAAAGTTTCACAAGAAGCTAAGACTGAATTAATAAGTGATCTTCAGGCCACTATTTCTGGCTCTTCCTGAAGTCTTATTATAGAATAATAATTTCTTTTTCCACATTCCTTTCTAGACCTCCAAGGAACAGTGCCCTCACATTAAACACTGCTCAGAGGATGCCTACACATTCCCTGCTGTTTTTGCACTGTATCCAAGGAAACATCTCAGATTTAGACATAGGGATTACACATTTCTTGCTTTCTTATAGCTCTTTGTTTATTCATGAGAGAAATGAAGGATTTTTAGTCATAGGTACAATGTGGTTTTTCATACTTTTGTTTTGAGGAACAGGAATCCTTTTAGAAGTTTTGTTTGCACGTGGAGAAAGCCTTAAGAATTCCTAATGCAGAAAAGATGAGCTGTCTTTTACATGGTGATGCAATATGAATTAATTTTTTTTTTAGGAAAGTGGTTTTCTGCACCAAAGTTTTCTGAGTATATCCAGACTCTAACTTTCTGACTATGTAGTTTTCAGTGGTTTTTTTGTTTTTTTTTTTTTTTTGCAGTTCTTCTTCTCACCTTTTAAGATTTACTGATTGAATTAATCCTTGCTAATCCAACCAGTCTTTTTCTATCTCCCTCTTTTTGGAAGTGGTTAGGTGATAAATTTAATCAATGATATACAAAATACACCGTAGTGTCTTTCAGGATACTTGTGGATTTTTTCCTGGCACAAGTGAGAATGCGTGCAAAGTATTTGCTGCATGTTTTCTGTTTCCTTTGGGAACATGCCACTGAAGTTATTGATCTTTTTCTATGGAGTAAGAAACTTTTAACTGCTCATTGAATTAGGACTTTGCTGACCAGTGGTGTGTTACTATTTTTGCTTAAATGAGGAGAATTTACTGTGAAAACTCTCTACTTCCTGAGGAGGAGAAATGTAGTTGGAATTTTATTCCTGGTCAGGAGGGATCCTATCTTCCATGCTTTGATGTTGCCTCTGCTGCACTTCATTAACTTTTTGATACTGAGCATTAGCTCAAAGATTGCATAAGAAACATTAATTTCTAACTTTCAACCAATATCTCGGATTTTTCATGCAATACCTCATCAAACAAGAGTTCCATAGTTTTAGTGGGAGGTTTTTTGGCATTAGGACAAAAATTTCCGCGTCTGATGTAATTTTATTTTTTTTTCCAAAGTAGAAAGAAACAATATGCCTATATGCACAAAGAGTAGCCTAGGGATTTTTGATCATATTTTATTGTGGCATTTGTCTAAAACATTTTTTTCCTTTCTTGGAAGTGATGATTAAAATGATTCTGGGGTTACTTATATATTTACTACTCCAGTAAATGGACTTGTAGTGAGTTCCAGTGATGTGTTTAGCCAAATATTGAGCATTAAAAGCAAAATTCATGAGTCCTTTGGAAATGCTGTGGACACTTAGTCCAACTAATAGGCAAGGATTAACCTAAAATGTTACTCAAACATGTATTTGTTCATACCTTAATTGAATTTTTTGACTTCTTGACTCACATACATTTTTCAGTTTATTCTGTCCACATACAGAACTTCTCAAAAGTAAACTAATTCTGTAGTCATGTCACCATTTTAGTACAGGATGGAGTTTGTGCTAATGGGTTCATAGTCAAAAATACCTCCCCCTCTGCCGATTTTTACTGGTGCCCTGGTCTTACCACAGCTAGGCATCTATTTTCATCTGTAGTTGATTGAAAACCTTTGTTCTCAGTTATTGTCCAACAAAAAGGTCTTTTTTAAAAAAACCCGAAGTGTTTCCGAAAATAAATAAATATTTTTTCAAAGCAAATATTTCAGTTTTGCCAAGGGAAAAAAACCTAACCTTGGATGAAAAAAGTGCTGTTTTTAAAAGCAAAATGCATGTGATTATATGGTTAAAAAGAAGCTTATGTTCTGTATGCATTACACGAAATTGTGTCTGAAAGTGAGTCACACTTGTGTTATTCCGTCTGCAGCAGTGGGTTTTTTGCAGCCTTATACTGGTTTAACTGAGAATCTGGTTTGTCCCTAGGTTGCTTTGGTTTCTTAATACCCAAAGCAATCTCATTTCCTAACCCCTATAGCTAAATTTAAAACATTTTGTGGTTTTTATTATTTTCAGAAGTCAAAGGGTGATGTTAATAATACGCCATTAAAATTGCAATTACTGAATCCACCCTGTGTCTTCTGAGTAATAGTTGCAAAGCAGAAGATTCAGATCTATGTGCAAAAATCCATGTGCCATATATGCCAATATTTGTGTATGTAACCACCCTAATTATGTATTCTAAGACATATTTGCGTTTGGGATGTCATGAAGATCCTCTAATAATTTGAGTTATCACTGACACTGCTGTAGCAGCTCAAGTATTTTGAAGAAGCAGATGGGTCTAGGACAAGGGTGTTTTGGGCCTCAATGAACTATTCCAGCAAAGCTTTAGTAGTATTTCACTGAAGAAAAATTAAGCTTAAAAAAATAGATTTGCTATGACAAAATGATTATATGTTGCTACATGATAAATAACTCTCCCAAAGAAGCAGGGATTGGAGCCAAACAGTGTGATTTTGAGTGCTGGCTGCATGAAGAGTGGGCTTGTGCAGACACTAAAGTAGAAGTGTGCTTATGAGGTGTTTGAAAAAACGGTTGGAAAATGGTAGGGGACAAAATAGCAGAAAAGTACCATAAGTGGTATAAACATCTCCAGATATCCCTTCCCTTCCCTTCCCTTCCCTTCCCTTCCCTTCCCTTCCCTTCCCTTCCCTTCCCTTCCCTTCCCTTC